CAGCACCATTTAAGTTCCTGGGTTGGATTCCCAGTTTCAGCCACAATTTATCAATCTGGGTTATTAAGTTGATAGTCACATATGACTTTATGAAAAAAGCTCATTTTTTTTTGTTTTGACTGTCATGGAATGAGTAATCCCAAAATCCCTGTTTATTGTGTTAATATTGTGAATTATTTGTACTTTACACATCATGTTTTACCTATACCCTCTGGCGTGCTCTGTTCCGATGTTACCGGTTCGTCCGTATGGATCATTCTGATGTCGTTGTTGTTCGTGTTCTCTGCTGATGCACCACGGATCCTCCTTTGCAAACTATAGCTGGGTAACTGGCTACCACGGGACTTTTCGTGTGACAAATAAACATTTGATTGAATGCAGCAGGAAGCATGGAAAGTGCAGCACTCTTGTGTGGATTTTACACGATTTGCTTGTCAGAAGTAGCTCTATGATATCATCTTCTATGGGCCATTCTCTCTGACATGGAGTGATGGAGTGCACTGTAAGAGTACCAAATGGACACTTATTTTCGTGACATGACGCGAATAATCACGCTTAGAAATACAATTGAGAATGTTTTCTGTCCGTTTTAAATAAAATACTTAAAATAGCCATTTATCAATGTGCAGTCATTGTGTCATCGGTAATAGAGGTTTTTGGGTTAGATCACGTAAATATAAATGTGTCGTTAAACCCGCCACCACTCGACGCAGCCAATTAGTCGTGAAAGACTACGTATTAAATTGTATAATCAGAACAATAATCTATAGAATCATCGATAAAGGCTGGAACTTCCAATTTCAACACAGCCTAAAAGAAGCACCAGGTGCAGTGTGTCGACATCTCCACTGGAGAACCCAAGGTGGCCTGACACAGTGCTCACCACATACTTGCCTTAATAGGTGCTCACTAACAATACTCGACTCTTTTCATCTGTACTCAGTGAAGCAGCCCCACAGCAGGGCAAAACATACTCGTCACACAGCTCAAGTTTGCAACCTGTCATTCCGTTATCACATAGTCCATCTGTCCCAATACCACAGTTGTGGGTGAGACGAATTCAAGACTGTGGTAATCATCATGCTATGGAGAGTTTGGTGGCCCGTGTTGGGAATAATGCACAAAAACACTTTAATAATTTAATACTTGAAAAAAAATGTGCGTAGCATATCAACTCTCATTAACTGTCCTTCACGTGGGTCCCTTTTTGTTTCTGGCCACCTCTTTACCGCTGTGCAACCGAGCCGTGCAGGGCTCAGCCTGGCATGGCTCAGGAGGCACCAGGGTTGTTATTTTTTTTACACTGCAGAATCCCGAGCTGTGTCGCTGATGTCGCACGCAATGGATAAGTCGAGTCGCCCTGTTTGGCTCGAGGCCAGATTCAGATTTCTTGTGATGCCTTAGTTTCACAGATTGGTTCTGGTTTGGCTCTGCAAAACAGCCAGTGTTGAAGGGCTAAGTGGTTGAGCAATGGAGAGAAAGGCTCCATGAAGGCATCGTCATCTGTGTGTCTCGTTCATGGGGAGCATTCGTGTAGCGGTTAGCGCACTGCGCTACAAACCTGGTGGCCCGACTTCAATTCCCGCTCACGGCCAACATCACCAGTGACGATTATCTGAATCGGTCCTGGGACTCCCCTAGGACGACTCGGCCTCAAATGAGTACCTGGTGCGGTGTGTAAACATCACCACTGGAGTGACAAAGGCGGCCGGCCGTGCTGCTGACCACCTACCCCCTCGTGTGCTGTGCCGGCCTTCATAGGTGCTTGCTAACAGCACTTGCCCCAACAGTCTGTTAAGGCTCTGTGGGGGGGTCTTTGTCTTTCCATGTGTACACACATAGGTGCTTGCTAACAGCACTTGCCCCAACAGTCTGTTAAGGCTCTGTGGGGGGGTCTTTGTCTTTCCATGTCTACACACATAGGTGCTTGCTAACAGCACTTGCCCCCAACAGTCTGTTAAGGCTCTGTGGGGGGGTCTTTGTCTTTCCATGTGTACACACATAGGTGCTTGCTAACAGCACTTGCCCCAACAGTCTGTTAAGGCTCTGTGGGGGGGTCTTTGTCTTTCCATGTGTACACACATAGGTGCTTGCTAACAGCACTTGCCCCAACAGTCTGTTAAGGCTCTGTGGGGGGGTCTTTGTCTTTCCATGTGTACACACATAGGTGCTTGCTAACAGCACTTGCCCCAACAGTCTGTTAAGGCTCTGTGGGGGGGTCTTTGTCTTTCCATGTCTACACACATAGGTGCTTGCTAACAGCACTTGCCCCAACAGTCTGTTAAGGCTCTGTGGGGGGGTCTTTGTCTTTCCATGTGTACACACATAGGTGCTTGCTAACAGCACTTGCCCCAACAGTCTGTTAAGGCTCTGTGGGGGGGTCTTTGTCTTTCCATGTGTACACACATAGGTGCTTGCTAACAGCACTTGCCCCAACAGTCTGTTAAGGCTCTGCGGGTGATCTTTGTATTTGCATGTGTACACACATAGGTGCTTGCTAACAGCACTTGCCCCAACAGTCTGTTAAGGCTCTGCGGGGGGTCTTTGTCTTTCCATGTGTACACACATAGGTACTTGCTAACAGCACTTGCCCCAACAGTCTGTTAAGGCTCTGTGGGGGGGTCTTTGTCTTTCCATGTGTACACACATAGGTGCTTGCTAACAGCACTTGCCCCAACAGTCTGTTAAGGCTCTGTGGGGGGGTCTTTGTCTTTCCATGTGTACACACATAGGTGCTTGCTAACAGCACTTGCCCCAACAGTCTGTTAAGGCTCTGCGGGTGATCTTTGTATTTGCATGTGTACACACATAGGTGCTTGCTAACAGCACTTGCCCCAACAGTCTGTTAAGGCTCTGCGGGGGGTCTTTGTCTTTCCATGTGTACACACATAGGTGCTTGCTAACAGCACTTGCCCCAACAGTCTGTTAAGGCTCTGTGGGTGATCTTTGTATTTGCATGTGTACACACATAGGTGCTTGCTAACAGCACTTGCCCCAACAGTCTGTTAAGGCTCTGCGGGGGGTCTTTGTCTTTCCATGTGTACACACATAGGTGCTTGCTAACAGCACTTGCCCCAACAGTCTGTTAAGGCTATACGGGTGATCTTTGTCTTTCCATGTGTACACACATAGGTGCTTGCTAACAGCACTTGCCCCAACAGTCTGTTAAGGCTATACGGGTGATCTTTGTCTTTCCATGTGTACACACATAGGTGCTTGCTAACAGCACTTGCCCCAACAGTCTGTTAAGGCTCTGCGGGTGATCTTCGTCTTTCCATGTGTACACACATAGGTGCTTGCTAACAGCACTTGCCCCAACAGTCTGTTAAGGCTATACGGGTGGTCTTTGTCTTTGCATGTGTACACACATAGGTCCTTGCTAACAGCACTTGCCCCAACAGTCTGTTAAGGCTCTGTGGGGGGGTCTTTGTCTTTCCATGTGTACACACATAGGTGCTTGCTAACAGCACTTGCCCCCAACAGTCTGTTAAGGCTATACGGGTGATCTTTGTCTTTCCATGTGTACACACATAGGTGCTTGCTAACAGCACTTGCCCCCAACAGTCTGTTAAGGCTATACGGGGGGTCTTTGTCTTTCCATGTGTACACACATAGGTGCTTGCTAACAGCACTTGCCCCCAACAGTCTGTTAAGGCTATACGGGTGATCTTTGTCTTTGCATGTGTACACACATAGGTGCTTGCTAACAGCACTTGCCCCCAACAGTCTGTTAAGGCTCTGTGGGGTGATCTTTGTCTTTCCATGTGTACACACATAGGTGCTTGCTAACAGCACTTGCCCCCAACAGTCTGTTAAGGCTATACGGGGTGATCTTCGTCTTTCCATGTGTACACACATAGGTGCTTGCTAACAGCACTTGCCCCCAACAGTCTGTTAAGGCTATACGGGTGATCTTCATCTTTCCATGTGTACACACATAGGTGCTTGCTAACAGCACTTGCCCCCAACAGTCTGTTAAGGCTCTGTGGGGTGATCTTTGTCTTTCCATGTGTACACACATAGGTGCTTGCTAACAGCACTTGCCCCCAACAGTCTGTTAAGGCTATACGGGTGGGTCTTCGTCTTTGCATGTGTACACACATAGGTGCTTGCTAACAGCACTTGCCCCCAACAGTCTGTTAAGGCTATACGGGTGGTCTTTGTCTTTGCATGTGTACACACATAGGTGCTTGCTAACAGCACTTGCCCCCAACAGTCTGTTAAGGCTATACGGGTGATCTTTGTCTTTCCATGTGTACACACATAGGTGCTTGCTAACAGCACTTGCCCCCAACAGTCTGTTAAGGCTATACGGGGGGTCTTTGTCTTTCCATGTGTACACACATAGGTGCTTGCTAACAGCACTTGCCCCCAACAGTCTGTTAAGGCTATACGGGTGATCTTTGTCTTTGCATGTGTACACACATAGGTGCTTGCTAACAGCACTTGCCCCCAACAGTCTGTTAAGGCTCTGTGGAGTGATCTTTGTCTTTCCATGTGTACACACATAGGTGCTTGCTAACAGCACTTGCCCCCAACAGTCTGTTAAGGCTATACGGGGTGATCTTCGTCTTTCCATGTGTACACACATAGGTGCTTGCTAACAGCACTTGCCCCCAACAGTCTGTTAAGGCTATACGGGTGATCTTCATCTTTCCATGTGTACACACATAGGTGCTTGCTAACAGCACTTGCCCCCAACAGTCTGTTAAGGCTCTGTGGGGTGATCTTTGTCTTTCCATGTGTACACACATAGGTGCTTGCTAACAGCACTTGCCCCCAACAGTCTGTTAAGGCTATACGGGTGGGTCTTTGTCTTTCCATGTGTACACACATAGGTGCTTGCTAACAGCACTTGCCCCCAACAGTCTGTTAAGGCTATACGGGGTGATCTTCGTCTTTCCATGTGTACACACATAGGTGCTTGCTAACAGCACTTGCCCCCAACAGTCTGTTAAGGCTATACGGGTGGGTCTTTGTCTTTGCATGTGTACACACAGTCGCGTGAGGAGATGAAGCCTGTACGGGAGGAGTTTGAACAGAGGAACAAGGCCCTGCTGGAGGAGATGCCGCAGCTCTACACGAGCCGAGCCGACTACTTTCAGCCCAGCTTTGAGGCGCTCGTGCGCTCACAGGTATGACCCAGAGGGGGCCCCCCACGCACTGCGCTCAGCGCAACTGGGATCGCGGTCGGAAGGTCGTGAGTTTAGCCGAGGCTATCCGATTCATTCAGAAAATCGACGGGAGTCGTACGTATGTACGTCTGAACGTCTTTCGCACCGTACGTGGCCAACCGCGCTAATCGGAGTTGAGCGCCCCCTCCCACGCCTGTTGGAGTAGGGTAACACTTATCATCCATGTGCGGGGGAGTGGAAGTGTGGCGCTGTGGCTATGCGTTACGAACCCAGAATGTGAGTTGGATTCCCGACCACGGCTCACATCAGTTGTGAGTGAAATCTGAACCAGTCCGGTCACCAACCCGCACTGACGTTTATGGTGAAGTATAGTCGAACGTACTCCATGAGCCATTCACGGTGGGGAAACCTTCATTTACCAGTAGATTGACATTCAACTTTGAACTCTGATTATTACTATCCGTTGAACTGCAGAATCCGCACATAGCGTACATTGCACCCATTGTCTTAAGTTGTTGTCATGATGCAACCTCGCAACAAATGGAACTGCCCCTCGTTGCAATGCCCGTGGAAAAGGGCAAAAAACTCGGCAACAAAGGTCTTCAAGGAGCCCCGAGGGGGATTGATAAGCAAAGCGGCTCGTTTATTTTAAGGAGGCACGTGTCGTTCACAATTATCGTTTCTCTCGTCTTCAACCCACACTGAACGAGGGTGGCTACGCGGTTCTAATGATAAGTATAGGTGTTATCACAGAAAAAATGAGTGTGTCCTTTAGGAAGATGTTAAAGCACCCGTGTCATATAGTACCCATTTGTATGCTCATGGAATAGTGTCATTCTCATCAGGATTATTATAGCCAATGATAAAATCGTCTTGAATACCCTCTAATCAGATATCAATCTAATCAGATATCAGAAACTAAGCTGCTTCTGAGCCTGGATAGGGCTCTGATGGGTGAACAGCATGTATAACAGGTGTTATAGGCTATTTTATTGGCAGCAGAGGGTAGTGCATCAAAATCCAGTGTCGTATTGTACTCGTACGCTTTCACACCTATGCTCCCCATCTTCACTGTTCACCCATACTGACCATCGTGGTGAAGTATGGTCACTTAACCCCTACGAGCCATATGGCATGAGGGGAGGCATGCATCCAGTTAGTGGATCATTGCATATTGCACAATAAGAATAACGAGATATATGTTAGGTTGGCACACTCGATAAAATGCTTGTGGTCACAATGTAGGTTGTGATGCCACATTGTGTTGACTTAGCCGATCAGTTCTTCCAACGTCGACAGTATTATTGCCACAGTGTTGGCCTGACATTCAGCTTTGATTTGTTGCTGTTAAACTCAATAATAAAATATACGCGTGGTTGTGCTCTTGCACATGCACGTAACTTGCACACACTGCACTGATTTCATTCGGTGAGTATACGCGTGTGTGTTTGTGTGTAGAGTGGGGAGCGGTGGCGCAGTGCTCAGCGCGCTGTGCTATGAACCCCGTGATCCGAGTTCAATTCCCGTTCACGGCCCACACCAATGACGATTATCAGAACCGGTCCTGGGCCTCCCCTCGGTCAACTCAGCCTCAAACGAGTACCTGGTTAAGGGTGTTAACATCGCCACTCATGGAGACAAAGGCGACCAGGTGTGGTGCTGGCCACCCACCCCATTGTGTCCCGTGCCAGCCTTCATATGTGCTCACGAACAGCATTTGCCCCAAAAGTCTGTTAAGGCTATACGGGAGATCTTTGAAACTGCAATAATTAGCATTTTTCGGACTGAATCATAGCAAACAGGGAACACCCTTATTTCTGGAAAAGGAGTGGCAGTAGCAAAGCATTCCCAGAATGCAACACCATGCTTTGGTTAATCAGAGATGAATTTTTCTCCAGATCCTTAGATTTTTCCCTCCACATGTATAAACATGCCTTGAGAGTATCTGGCTGCTACACATTTCCCCTTTTTTTTCTGGAAGATTTGCTGGTTTATCCAGGATGTTTCTGTTGCGCGTCGTCGCTTTAAGATGTTCTGTGTTCATATTTTGTTTGTTGTGGTTGCACCAGACTCAAGAGCCGCATGGCTCACAGGGCTATACCTAATAAATGAAACTTGAAACTTTGTTGAGCTATCATTTGTGGCCAGGTCACTTCTGAAAAACAGCAATATAGCTCAGTGGGCCTTACCTGCTGAAATAAAAAATGAAGTTAATACTTGAAACTAGATTCAAAGGAGGTCTCATGATGTAAATGCTTACCCCAAGCCCTCATTACTTTGGTAGTGCATTGTCTTTGAGCTGTACGCTTTTTGGCGTCCTCAGGTCTAACACCGTTTGAGACGAGGCTCAAAAGAAAGCTGTCTCTGGTGTGGACCAATCAGTTTCAAGGACAATGCATCTATTATCAGTGTGTTATTTGTTTGCATTCTGACCACAAGTATTGTGGTGAATGCTGTAACATGATTCCTTGTGAAAAGGTGTCAGCGTTGTTGCGAGAAAAAAGGGGGGAAAGCCTATTGTTATATTTTGGTACTGGCAAAGGAGGTCTCATGATAAGACCGCGCTCTTTTCTTCCACGTGAGACTCGCTTGTTTGCCGACCTTCATCCTGAACCTATTCTACTGTTAAAAGACTTAACCTCATCTATTCGCACTAAATCCTGGAGTGGAAATGGCGAAGCAGCTTTGCAAATAAAAGTAAAATATATGTTGTGAACAGTCGTAGCTTCATGGCGTATCGAAGCCGTGGGGTTTTGTTTTTTGCACAGCATATACCACGACAGTGAAAAATTATGAATGGTTGGTTGAAATATAATAGTTGACGTGTGAATAGATGAGGGTTACCTGTGATGGAATTTTGTTCAATTTTCTCCCTTGTCACTACAACAATGCACCACGTATATAATTCCCCTGCCACCTGTAACGTACAAACAAAGAGGAAAACCTATTCTCACCTTACAAATTCTCTGATCATCCTTCACCCACTCCCCCTTGACCTGATGTCGCTTTTACAGCCATTCCCAACGCAGTTATGCGTGGTTACTTTACAAACACAATTTATACTCCATTGGATGTCTCATTTTTTTCTGAACTAGCACTTGTGAGTTCCAATAGTCGAGTAAGATAGGTTAGAAGCAAATCGTTACGTCTGTGGTGGCCTTGAATATTAAGGAGTGATAATGTTCCATGTTTTCATGATGCCGTTTAAATCAGCTGCTCCAGGCTATAAGAGTACAAACTTAGCTTCAGGTTAAAAGTACTAAAGATGCAGCCCTGCAATTGCTTGCCCACTGCTGCTGCTGTTGGAAGGACCCCGAACTCGAGGGGGCTCCATAGAGCCCCCATCTGGAGGGGTATTTCGCCGAATTTTTCTGAGCTAGCCAGACGTATTAGTACGGGTGGTGTAACATCGAGTTGCGTGTAAACCTCTTACTCCACGTGGCCTGCCAGCTGACCAACTGTGTTGCACCCATTTATTTCCGATGGCAGAACAGAGGCGGGGGTGGGGGGCATTTTATAAACTACAAGTGCTCCGTTTTAATTATTGCTGCCTTAATACACGTAGGAAAATGCTTGCGTGCTTTTTATTTTTGCCAATTATTTGTCATCTTCGTTGTTGTTTCTATGAAATTATACCAATTGAAATTCTGAAAATTATAACCACAAGTTTGTCTTGGTTCTCATGGCTCATTTTATTATGATGAGTTGCTTATCCCTAGCCTAACAAATAGCTGCTTTGTGTAGACTATGTATCACATGCTGCCTGACAGTTTTAAGGGTTCGTTCGTTCGTTTCTCAGTCTGCTTGTCCTGGTGAGGGTCGCGGCGTCAGCATATCGAGGAGGGCGGTCCAGACCTCCCTTTCCCTGGCGACAGAATCTAGCTGTTCCTGGGGAATTCCCAGGTGTTCCCAGGCCAGCTGAACGACATAGTCCAGCTAGCGTGTCCTGGGCCGGCCCCTGGGTTTTTGCCCAGTGGGACATGCCCGGTTGAGATCCAGGGGGAGTCTGTTGGTGGGCATCCTTACCAGGTGCCCGAACCACCTCAACTGGCTCCTCTTGATCCGGAGGAGCAGCCGCTTGATTTTGAGGCTTTCCCGGATTACGGAGCTCCTCACCCGACCACAGAAAGTGAGCCCGGCAACCCTGCGGAGAAACCTCATTTCGGCCCCTTGTACCCGCGATCTCATCCTTTCGGTCATTACCCAAAGCTCATGACCATAGGTGAGGGTGGGAATGTAGATCGACCTGGAAACCGACAGCTTTGTTCGAGAACTCAGCTCCCGCTTCACTACCACGGAATGGTGTAGTCCCCGCAACACTGTGGATGCCGCACTGATCCCCCGGCCGATCTCCCGCTGCCACTTACCATCACTCTTGAAAGAGACCCCGAAGAACTTAAACTCTTCCACTAAAGGCAGCTGTTCCGCCTCACCTAGAGAGAACAAGCCACCATCTCCCGGGAGTACATGCTGGAGATAACAGACTGATGAGTCAAAGAGGAAAGGACAATGTCATCTGCAAAAAGCAGCGACGTCACCTCCATGCCCCCATTCTGGATACTCTTCGTACCTCGGCTGCGGCTTGATATCCTGTCCATGAAAATCACAAACGGGAGTGGAGACAAGACGCACCCACCATGAACGACTTTGATTTAACACCAAGAATACAGACACAGCTCTCACTCTGGGAATTAAGGGACCGGATACAGCACAAAAGCAGCACCAGTACATAATACTTCTACAGCACCTCTCACAAGGCATTGCAGGGAACACAGTCATATGCCTTCTCCAAGTCTACAAAGCAAAGGTAGACTGGAGAAGCATACTCCTATGACCCCTCAAATATCTGTGAGAGAGAAAAGAGCTGGTCCATTGTTCCACGACCATGACGGGATCCACATTGTTTCACGACCATGACGGGATCCACATTGTTCCACCTGAATCTGAGGCTCGACCACCGGGCAGAGCCTCCTCGCCAGCACTCTGGCATAGGCTGTACC